GAAGCTTTAATCTAAGTAAAAGGAGGAGAGAGTTCAGAGAAAACGTGAATGAGGGACGTGAGTTAAGAAACAAATGAGTTTCTCATGCGAAAAATCTCTCAAATACCCTCAGTCCTGCGCGTTCTCGCTTGAGCGAGGTCTAGCTCGCTTGAGCGACGTCATCTCGCTAGGCGACAAACAGCTCGCCTAAGTGAGATATGCAGATAGCGATTTCGAACCTTCTTTTCTGATATGCTCGATTGAGCGAGCTTCATCTCGTCTGAGCGAGATGATGTCCAGAGAGCACGACATTCCTCATGTGGGTCCTCGCCTGAGCGACCTAATCTCGCCTGAGCGAGATCCTTAACTTGCCTGAGCGAGGTCACCCTCGCCTAGGTGAGGCAGCAACTAGACCGACATTATCTCATTCTCGCCTAGGCGATAATCTCCTCGCGTGAGCAAGCATCTCCTTGCTTGAGCAAGCATCTCTTCGCCTGGGCGAGATAGCTCTGCAACCATTTTTCCCTGCATGAATCATCTCACTTGGACGAGATTCACCTCGCTTGAGCGAGATCTCCTGCACCAAAAACTCCTCCAAAATCATCTCATTCCATCTAAATGCTTTCTAATACTACTTAGCATCAAATACACATAAATTACTAAAAAGTGAAAAGAGGATGTTACATGGGAGAAGTCCCACAGAACTAAAACATGAAAATATAACAAATAAAGAGATGAGAAGAAAAGCACCTTAGGATGAAAAGAGGGAAGCGACGATATTAAAACTATCATCGTTCAGAGTCTAAGAGTTCAACAAAGACTAAGACTATAGTGTTCATATCTTTCTTAGCCCATTATGCCAACGTCACATAATATAAGAAAAATATGAAAAATAGGTGAGAAGAGACATTCAAACAAACTTTGAAGAGGAAAAAAATGGAGATGATGAGTATACAAAAATAATATGCCATAGAAATAGGGAAAACGATTATGATGGAACTCAATCTGAACACATAATAAAAAGGAGATGAAAAGAAGAGTAACTTAGTACTTACCATGACTTGAGCGAGACAATGATGTTCATTGTGATTTGCATAGACGAGAGATAAAAGCAAGAGTTAAGTTTTTGGAGCAGATAAAGTGAGACAATGAACATTAAGCAATGAAATGGTGTTGTGATAGATAGCAATGTGATGTTACATAATCGAAGGTACATTTTCAGGCTTTTGAGCCCCTCAATGAAAAGTGATATGAAATAAAACTAAGCTTGCAGACTTCAAGCTTTGAGCCACTAAAAGAAAAGTAACTTAAAATAAAATTGAAAACTGAACCCCTACCCTCGGAAGTCAAAGGCAAGTCTATATAAATATAATCAGACGGTTCAAATTTAAACGAAATTAAAAGTTTAGATCTATTTTCATCTATTTTTATCCATTTTAAATTTTAAATTAATTTTTTAGGCCGACTCATATTTAATCAACCCGCTCAATTATAACAATTATGTATTGGTGTTATTGAGTATCGGTCAAAAATGAATTTTTTAGCACCCTTAGTGAGAAGAACATTAACTTTGGGTTGAGAGCAAAAGATAAAGTTGATGGCATGAAAACAAAACATACAAATAAAGGTTAATGAAATTGGTCCAACGTTAAAGTATTATTATGGACAAAATTTGGAAACAATATTATATAATTAATGTAATCAGCCTAAACCATATTAACCTAGTTAGGAATTTGGACCTCCTCTCATTACTGTAAGTGTAAGTTGAACTGGGTCTTGTTTTATTTTAACCAAAACAAATGTAACATAACAAAATAAATAATGATTTAATGGATCAATAATTGATTTATGAGTAAAAAAGAAGAGATGGTAAAGAAGGAAAAAGTAAAAGAAATATTATTTTTTTTTGCTACAATGAGCAAGAAAAAATATTTACTTATGTAAAGCTATTAAAATCTTTTTATGGTTTTATTTTGTATAATTTTAAGTGAGCATGATAGATATTTTTAAAGTTACTTTTTAAAATCTTCAATGCCAATTTCAAATTTTAAGTCATATAATTCTTAATTTTCAACACCACTCTGTTGGCAAAATTATAGATATATTTGGATTGATTAACTTCGTATAAACAAACTATAGAAAAGCCTTTATAAAATATTTTTATTATGAGCTTTCATTATAATTTAAATATATTAATCAATTAATAGTTTTCAAATCATTAAACCGGTTTAAAAAAGATAATAATTGAAAAAATATATTATAATTTAAAATTTTTATTTTTCACTATAAAAATTGGATCAAATCAAACCTTTTCTGTATCATACTTATATTATATTCTCATACATTGTACAAGTTCTATCTTCTCTTAATTCAGCATCTTTTGTTTAGTTTAAATTAAAAATTAAAATAAAAGTCATCTAAAAATAAATAAATTTTCTATTAAATTGTAAAATATTGAATTGATTTAGTTATATTTTAATGTTATATTGAAACCTAATCAAACTGTGAATATCCTATATCTATTTATTAAATAAAAAAAAATTCGTATGTATTGAGTATAAAGAATTGGTGCTACTTGTTAATAACCATAGTTGTGTGTAAAATGGACTAGTTGACTTGAGCTGTTACTATAGTTATTCTTCAGACTTCCACCATGCATTTCACAATAGATGTAAAAGTAATAGTGCAGAACAATTATAAAATAATGATCTATAATTAATTTCTCCCTGAAGGAAGGAGAATAAGTTTATTATAATTTATTTAGAGAACATGAACTGAACTAGCTATAAGGAAATTATAGCTAGATTGATTTTATTTATATATATTATATATGTGATGGGTCATAGTATATGGTTCAACAGGCACAACACACTTCTAATTTTTGTAGCAGCCACTGAGTAAATTTTCTCCCCTTCCACAAAGATAGTTACATTGTTGGTTCCCATATGAGTCTATACATCCACCTGTGAACAAAGCACTTGGTTTTTCACATGCTTCAGTCAGCACCACCATTTCCTCTGCAATTAATTTCCAAATAATTGAACAAACTCAGTAAATTCAGCTTTTTTTGTTCGATGAGCATTTTTTGCACGAAGCATAGATACTCCTTCCTGGTTTAGCATAGACAATGTTAATTTGATCCAATACAATGTTGAAATAATCCAATGAGGAACGATCTAAGTTGACAGCTTTGTCATCTGTAGATGTTCCTTGAAACCCTCAATATGTCCCATCCTTTAAAGTCTTTTTGACGAAAACAATTAAGAATGTGATTCATAATACTCCCATTTTTCGAAGAAAAAAGGTTCAATTTCAACACAATGCAAGAGTCTTTTCTAGTAACACTGCACATTCTCTATGTTGTAATCCCAAAAACCTTATCATAAATAACACACACTTTGATAACTAAGTGAACTAAAAGAAAGGTCACTCTGTGGAAAAAAGTAAGATGAAAGTATAAAAGAAAAGTAACAAGGGCCGAGTAAAGAACTAGTCTTGAAATGAAACAAGTCTTGAAATGAATAATGGAAAGAACTACGTTTAATATGACCCCAATGCAAAATTTGCCTACACCAACAACAGCTCAACTATTATAATCTTAGTAAACTGGACTAGATTCAATGATTAGACAATCAGTTTAGTGCAAAACGAAATCTAAAAGAACACCTAATTATGATATAAGTACTCATAACACATCTTTAGGTCCCTTTTATTATCTTTCTTTGTAGAAAATACATACACTAACAAATAACTACTCTAAAATTAGTTGTTTTTATATATTTCATTTACTAAGTTGCAGACCTCTAAACAATGCACTAGTATCAACTCCATACCATCCTAGATCACTAATCAGGAGATCTAGATTATAAATATTAAATTACATGATATAGTAGAAGAATTTTCTTTCTTGATTATAAATTTTAAAATACCAAGCTTTTATAAAAGAAAAACATGAATACTAAATAAGATGATTCCACTTCAATAACATCAATGTTAACCATTGTCCACGTTGAGATCTCTACCTTCTATTTTGAGAACTTAAGTGAGAGCTAACTACTAGGTAACGTACATGTGCCTCTTGCTTTTTTACATATCTGATAATAAAATACGATAGATGCTGAAAATATTTTTATAATTTAACACTTGAGTGTCCCAATGAAATAACTAAATGACTGTGACCATCAAATCACCGAAATCTGAAATCGAAATGGGAGAAAAAAGAAACAAAGTTGTTCTATTTTAAGTAGTTCCCAACATTACGGAAATCCAACAATTTTTAGAAAGCTTTTAATATCCAAAATTTATTTTTCTTTTCTATTCCATTTTCACTTGTAAATATTAAAACAATGAGTCTTCCCATGATAAAACTAAAATTGAAAATTTACCTTCAATTCAAAATTAAGACTGTACGTCTAAAAAACTTGTAAAAAGTAAATAGAAATTGAAACTATACAAAACTTCCATTTATATTTTACATTTATGAAGTAGAAGGAACCCAATATATTTGTTTTACATCATTCCCTACGCATGTAATTACATTTCTAATTTAGATCTTAATTTTTAAATAAGAATGTTTTTAGGCATTAGTTATCTTTGTTATTATGTCACATGACTTTTTATGCGTTTAACATTTAATTTTTTTAAATTCATCTTAAGTTAAAATTTATATTAAATAGTTTTTAATTGGTTTTTAATTTTTGAAATTTCTTTTTTATTTAATCTTATTTAATATAATAGAATATTATTATTAAAAAATAAATGTTAATATTTACAATTTTTATTAATTATATAATAATTTTAATTTTTTAAAAATATTATATTTTTAATAATGCCAAAAAACTTACTAGCATTAAATATATGATGGTTAATATCAATTTAAACAGAGACTCCGAAATTGTTTAATAATTGAAAATTAATATGATTAGGATAATTTGTATTTATAACTCAAAAACTAGTTAAAAGTATTTTATTAACAAAGCAAATACGATACACAACGTTTACACTGAATAAACACCGTCAGATCAGTAATCACTAAGGATTATTTGTGGGATGTGTGCGATTTGGCGACTAACAACACTTGTCTCTGTTCGGCATTCTTTAACTAAGAGGGAACAACTCTTCACTTCAAATATCTTTAAGTTGGTAAGATCACTCATTCCTTCGGGTAGCGATGCCAGATTTGGGCAATCCCACAATATGATGTGTTGAAGCGACGATAGGTTGCAAATCCAATCTGGCAAAGCCTTTAGGTTTTTACACCTACTTATGCTGATTTTTCGCAGAGGAAGATGGCAGTTGGTGTCAACCTTGAACTCAGTTTCAAATTCCTCAAGTGTTTCACTTTCACACCATATAATTTGAAGAGACTCGAGAGAAGTCAGATTTTGCATCCAACCCTTTGGTAAATTCATATGATCAGAAATCGTCAATTCTTTGAGCATGGAAAGAGGAGCAGCAGAGGAAGATGAGTCAGCTGAACATGTTGAGTTTAGTGTTGCAATTAATGGCTCCGCACTGCATTCATCCCAACGTAAATTCTTAACGTTTGGAAAAGTAGGCATGCAAGTCAACTGTGGACATTTATAGACTTCCAGCCGAGAAAGATGAGGAAATGAAAGAGGTAAAGAGAGATTATGTGAATTATTGATATCATCTCCCCGCCTCCGCCATCCCCTGAGCTTGGGACAACCTCTTAAGAAGAGGCTCTCCAAAGAGGGGAAGAAGCTTAGTGCAAAACCATCTTCGTAGAGATCTATGTATTCTAATTCATTGAGAGAGTGTATCGCAAGTGACTTCAGGGACGGGAGACGTTCCAACGGAGGGAGACAGCAGCATTTACGAAGCTCATAGAGACGAATGTGAACAACATTTGTGAGGAGAGAAAGCCAAGTTGGGAAAAACACGCCTGGATAATGCCTGACATTCAATTGCTTAAGATTACGGTGGGGCTCAAGGTTTTCCAATAATTGCAAGCTGTCACTATTACGGATGTCTTCATCCATTATAAAATAATTCAACCAATCCAGAGTCAAGGATTGAAGGAATTTTTTTTCTTTTAAATTTACATTCTGTGATTCCAGAGCCACGTCTCTCACACGATTCAGATGCTCAATTCTTAATTGTCCCCTTAGGTTTAAGTCCTTCAGTTCATTTAGTGTGCCATATTTTATTTCTTGGCTGTCTCCTACAACAAAGGTCGACAAGAATTGCAATGAGGATAATTTTCCCAACCCTGCCATCCCACTCACGGAGTCATAATCATCGATATCAAGGCACCTCAAATTGACTAATTTTGTGACTACTGAAAATGATTCTTCATCGTACTCCTCCAATTTCAACGTTTGCAGAAAAACAAGATTGCTCATAGATTTGGGAAGACTTGTTTGGTGCGTTAAATCAAGGTATCTTAAATGCTTCAAATGTTCAGTGGAATCATAGAGATGATGCATCCTCAAGACACGTAAGTATTTGAACTCTGCAATAGCCGACAAATCTTCCTCCTCTTCCAAGTCATCCGGTAAAATCAAAGTTCGCAGCCTCCTCGGATCTAATGATTTCAACAAATGAATGGCCTCATCAGATTCCAATGATACGTGCATGGGTCTACCTTCAACTTTTTCTGCCTTTCTATCCAAGAAACAATAATCATTGCCCGCAACAAGCATTGCAAGATCATGCATTAAATCATGCATTTTGAAACTAATGATCTCACCGTATTCATCATTTTCTGCATCTTGAAAAAATGAGTTCATCAGAAACATCTCTACAAATTGATTACCAACATCCTCCATGTGCTGTTTTTCAGTCGAACATTTAAGGTAACCCTGTGCCATCCATAACTGAATCAACTCATCCTTTTCAATTTCCGAATCCTTGGAGTATAAAGAGCAGTAAGCAAAACATTGTCTCATTTCTGGAGACAAGTTGCGGTAACTGAGTTTTAGAATTGGCATAATACTATTTTGCTCTTCACATAATTTCCAGAAGCCACCAAGTAAAACATTCTCCCATTCACTTTCTTCATTTTGTCTTCTTAACAGGCCTCCCAGGGTTTTAACTACTAGTGGAACACCCTTACATTTTTTGGCTATTTCTTTCCCCGTTGATTCTAGATTTTGATTCACTCCATTGAAATCATCCTCAAATGCAACGCTCTTCAACAAACTCCAAGATGCTTCATCCGTCAAACCTTTCAAAGGATAGGAAGTGCTAGCTGTCATTGCCTCAGCTACATTTTCACTTCGAGTTGTCACTAAAATTTTACTATCTTGAGCGCCACACATCAAGTACTTTCTCAATTCAATCCATTTGTCACGTCTCTCATTCCAAATGTCATCCAGGACCAACAAATATTTCTTATCACTTAAATTTTCACGAAGTTCTTCTTGCAAGTAGTCTAATGACGACCCATCTGCTGTCTGGCGACGAGTAACAGATTCTAATATTTTCTTCAGAATAGTTTTCACATCAAAGTTATCAGAGACACACACCCACATTTTCTTTTCAAAACAATTCTGCACTTCCAAGTCATTATACACCAACTGAGCAAGCGTTGTCTTCCCCAAGCCACCGAGGCCAACAATAGCAATCACAGAAACTTTTCGGTTTTCATGAGGTTGTCTCAACATAGTAATAATCTCCTTTTTACTATCATCTCTTCCAATGATATCAGATTCTAGCACAAAAGAACATGTTTCCCTCCAGTCACTGTTAGTTTGCTTAACCAGAGAACCTGGGCTTAAATTCAATTTATCCATGTCTTCTATTACTACAGTAAAACTTTCTCGTATTTGTTTAATTTTGTCAGGCATTTCAGTGTATAAAGGAAGTTGATTTGAAGATGAAATGGAAAGAAGTACCTTGTCTACTTTTCCTTCTGCTGCACCCAATTTGTCTCTCCTGAATTGGATAGCAAGGTCATCTAAGGAGTCATCTGCAGTATGGAGTACTTTTTTGAACCTTCTGATCCAAACTCGCACACCATCATCTTGATCTTGTTTATCGTCTGCATCAAGGAGCTTAGCATTGATGGATTCAATAGTGTTCTTAAGCTCTTCCAACTCTTCCATCACATCATATTGCTTTCCAAATTCAAGAAAATCTGCGGAAGCCAACCTGAGATTTGAAGTAACAGCAAATGGAACTGAATCAGCCATTGTTAAAATGATTAAGAAAGACTACATAGAAGGGTGCTTTGTTGAAAGGAAATTGAGCAATGTGTAAAAATATTGGCATAAGAATAGAGGAAAAGGGAAAATATGTAATAATAATCTACAAATTCAATTGATTGAATCATGATTCATTCATGGCCGGCTCAGTTACAAATCCTTACCAATCAGAATTTCCATATGCACGACACATCTAAAAGTAGATATTTATTTTTTATAATTTTAGTACAAAAGACAAAAAACTATCAATTATCACTCCAAAATCTTCTTGTTTAAGATATTTTTTTAAAATATTATTATTAATGTAATCCCCTAATAGAATAGGACGTAGTATATAATTTTAGGAACATTTTTCCAACATAACATTAATATGGGGGCTAGGTTACCTACCAAAGAAAACTAAAGGAGACTAGGAATCCTAAAATAATAACTTCAGATTTCTTCTCTTTTTTCATCATAAAGAACCATGCATAAATAGCCTCAGAACCAGGTCTTTGATCTTCCATCTAAATGAAATAACAAACTTTAAAAAAACCTTCAAACTAACAAAAACACTTGTATTCAATGATTAACATTAATTTTTTGTTATGCGTTTGGGTCTTGTAACACAATTATTTCTTATTAATGTTGATCTCATAAAAATTACTATAGAAAGTAATTTACTGTAACTCCGTATCATTTGAACTCTCTTGTATACGCCAGTCTGTGTTCATTCTCGAATAAAAGAGTACTTTGGAATTTTTTTAATATTTACTTGTTTAGCTTCTTTTATATTAATTTTGTTATATTTATCTTTTCATTAAGTTAAAATATTATTTTTTAAATTTAATTAATTTTAAAGTAAATTTTAAATTTTTTATCATGACACTATATTAAATTGTTAGACATAAAAATAGGGGAACATTATTCCTCAGAATGATTGCTGAAGAAGAAAATAGATCTGCACTGTTTTCAGTTTGAGATTGGCAATGGCTGCAGTATAAACATTATTGCTCTTATATCTCCCCATTACAGCGACACTTTTGTAATTAGTTATGTCACTCGTGACTCAGCTAAACTGTAAGCTAAGCATGTTGTGGAAGAATTAAAAAATGGATAGTTATTGTTGAAATTGAAGAAAGGGTGGAAAAAGAACCTGTGAATGAGATTAGACGCAACAGCAAATGGAACGTTTTCCATATTCCTTAAATCTGATGAAGAAGAGAAGAGATTTCACTGTGTTCAGTTTGAGATTGGCAATGGCTGCAGGGTAAACATTAGTGCTCTTATATCTCCCCATCACAGGGATACTCAAACCATCTTTTCTTCTTTCAATCTAATATTATTAAATATACAATAAAGGGTAGCCTCTAACCCGAGTTACCCATTAATTAGTTTAGTAATGAGGGAGATTGTTTCTGCAGTTAGATATAATACTAATTTAATCAAAGTTGAGATTAATTATTGTGACTTTGCTGTGTAGTCGTCGAGTCAAAAAATTATGTGCATTATTATAACTCACATTGACAGCTAATGCTGTCTCATCTTTTGGTCATCATTTTATAATTGTTTAATGTAGTTAAAAATTTAAACAACATCTATAATTTTAAGATTATGTATTAAGTTAAATTAACTTTTTTTAAAATTGATTGAGATGCTTGGTGATAATGAATTTTTATAATTTATTACTGTTAATTATAATATATTAATTTTTTCATTACTTGTATCATTCTTGTTATGTTTCTAATACCTGATTTGTCTACTTACGATGCGAGCGGTCACATGAAATTGATGTTATAAGAGTTAGGTGCGTCACTTTTGAATACCTTTATTTTGTTATACCTATTGTTAATGTCTTAATTTTTCTCTTACTTCGTATAATCATATATCATTTACTTTATTAAGAAAAAAAATATGTAAACTGCTACACTTATGTATCTATTACATTATTGCTCTTATATCTGCCCATCACAGGGACACTTTTGTAATTAGCTCTCAAACCATCTTTTCTCAGTCTTAATGGTCAATGCTTGCTCTTATCTTCGAACTAATATTATAAATATGCAATAAAAAAAGTTTTTTATTTTTTTAAAATTAATATATTTACATTGATTAACTTCATATAAACAAATTATAGAAAAGCCTTTTTTAAATATTTTTTTATTACAATCTTTCATTATAAATTAAAATATATAAGTATTTATTTGAGAGTATTAAAAATCAATCCATCAATTAATAGTTTTCGAATCATTAAACTTATTTAAAAAATTGAAAAATCATAATATAATTTACAATTTTTATTTTTTATTATAAAAATCAGATCAAATCAAACTTTTTCTCTTAATATATTTATATTAGTTTTCATACAGGGTAGCACTTGTATCTACTTTAACTTGTAACACCTTAAATTTCTTTTAACCAACAAATACATTTTCATAACAGATAAAAATAAATTCCTTTTGAATACATATAATTTTGGATTTTTGCTAATAACATTTCTAAAATATTCTTTATAATAAAATTGGACCAAGTATCATAAATTGTAAAAATTATTACTAAATTTACTCATCACAAAATATAATTAAAATAAAATAATACAAATTTTCAAATGGTCCTAGTTCCTATAGAGCAGTCTTCCTTCCAATACCCTCGGATTATGATTCTAGGACGACCAACATCTTTATCGCTTCACATCCATTACCTGAAAATATTAGTAAGGGTGAGTATCTCCCGCCCTACTAAGTCTCTGAGTTAAATATAAACAAAATACTTACAGGTATATACAGTATTAGGGATATTACTTGACATGGTTTAAATCACAAATACACTCAAATCATCCAAGTTCCCATTTCAAAGAGTTACGCACGACAATCAATCATACTCACCACTTCAGATTATACATCTTTCTACTAATCTGTACGCTATACTACATGTATTATACCACATCAATCAATATGTCACAACACATGTGTCCTAATCGTATTCGTCGATATATTACAACACATATATCATAACAACACCAACCGAAATGTTACAATGCACCTATTATGACTGCATAATTTCTATACCAATTCATACACATCACATTTTTACATTCATAGTCAATGCCCCTGGGATCCTTGGAGGACTTCACAGCTTAGATAGCCGCTGGTTAGCTGCAGCAACACAGATACACGTGTACCTCCCCAACCCCTTATAGCAAAGATATAGTCAGGAGTCTCATCAGGAAATGAGTGTGTGGCCTGTGAATGATTTCATTTTAAGCAAATCGTTGTGTACTATCCACACAAGCATTCACCACCCTCATTTCTACAAGATTTTCCAAATCTTCTCCGGACTCTATACCCCCAGTTGTATCACTGTAACTATCTAAACTCATCACCACATTTCTCATTCTTTTTCACACTCTTTTATAGAACAACGTGTCATAATACGTGAGTCTTGGCTGATGACTTGGTGTATTACAATACATATATTATGAGTACGCCCTTTGGGTCATGCCATAATACATTCACATCCATCCATCTACTCTGACTCTCGTATTATAATCACTCTTTCCAGCATTTCATTCACACGTGCGCTCACTGCATGTAGCCACGCTCACTGTGCCACCTTGATTACATCACACATCACATAGAAAACCTTATCTTTATTTAAGAATAATTAAACACTTACAATATAGTATCGGTTCACTCATTTAGCATACTTCAACTATTAAGTAACAAATATATAATAATTATATCATTCATCATTGAACACTCATCCAACACAGAAAATCATCATACATCACACAGTCAATACAATGTGTCGGAGGTCGGACACCTCCGGACTCAGCTCAGTCGTATAATCCTCACTCACATTTATCAATAATAACAATAGAGTTGCATACCCTAAGGTTTAGCATCATTCCAACTACCTTCAAACCATGTTTGCTTACTAAAAATGTAGTGTTCCTTCGAAAATGGTTTTATTTACATCCTTTCTTACAAATTTTGTTAGGAGAGTTATCAAAATAGTTACAGATTTTCCATTTTAACTACCCAAGAGAGGTTAGGGTTTGAGATTTACTCCCCCTTACCTTGGAACGAAGACTCACCCTAAAATCAACGGTAGAATAGCTTCCCACACGGATTTTCATTCCTAAAATATGGAAATACCCATGAGAAATTGAGAATACAAGAAAGAGGAATGAGAAACCAAAAATCCTAACTCATAAACTTACCTCCAAGCATCCAAAACTCAATTTCAACCTTTAATCTAGCTCCCAAACGGCTTTGGAGGCAATTTAATCGGTAAGAACGGGTTGAAAATAGAGATAATCGAAAGGGTTTCAAAGGGAGGAATGACAAATGAGTTTCTCGAACCCTAAACCCTTCAAATACCTCTTTGATCACGACACGTTCGCTACAACAACACATTCTCATTGCAGCGACGGCCCCTATCGTTACAGCGAAAATCTCATAGGAGACTGCACCCTGGTTTTCTATAGAATCTCGCTACAGCGAGGCCTTCTCGTTACAGCGAGGCCTTCTCGCTACAGCGAGACTACAACTAGAAATGTACCACTCACTACCGCTCTCTCACTATAGCGAGACACTCTCGCTACAGCAAGAATGTGATAGTCCCACGCCTTCCTCCCAGGGCCTTCTCGCTATAGCGAGATTGCCCTGCAGTTTACCCTCATCCTATATTTCTTATCGACCTTAGTCCTAACAAGTCAACACTCACACATAAGTATATATATACACATACATCCAACATTCAAACACACAAGTAGAAATTCACACACACACACACACACACACACACATATATATATATATATATAGTAATTAGAATATTATTATAAAATTTGGAGCGTTACATAACTCTTCTCTTAATTCAGCATCTTTTGTTTAGTTTAAACTAAAAATTAAAATAAAAGTCATTTAGAATTAAGAACAAAGAAAATTTATATTAAATTAATAAAAATTGGTCTATGAAGCAAGCAATTCGATATCGTTTAAGGT